TCCATTATATTACCCACCATGGTTTTCTAATGCATGTTCGATATAACAACAATAAAATCAATCAAATACCATTCCATGGCAGGACAAAAACATCAACTACAAAAAAAAAAATTGACTTATCGGCAGATAAGATTCAAGAATTGTCAAGTTCAATTAATGGTAACTCTCTCAAAGATATATATATATATATATATATTTTTTTTTTTGCATATATAGTGACTTGAACTTAAGACCTAGTTCTCAAACAGTCATAGCTCTAGAGTATTTTTAGAAAAAGGTGTTTTTAATAGTTAGAGACGGAACAACATTTGCCTTTAGAACTTTCTCTATTGTATTTTCGAGGCGAATTTGTAGACGAATTCGAAAATGGTACCTTCAACTGTTAGAGAAGGAATGTTATTTGTCTCTAAAACTGTCTCTGTTGCCTTTACTTATTTTCTTCCTTTTTTTAAACTTCGTGGCTATTGAATACTTTTTTTACATAATAACAAAACAAAAAAATAATTGTTTGGACAGATAATATCATTAATCATGAAAAAACCAATTGCTGAGAGCAAATAAGCAAGAACAAGAATTAGCTATATAGGCTTTTTTCTTATATTCTCTTAGTTCTTGATGTATATCATGGTAAAACAATTTTGAGAGACAAGTCTTAGATTCACACACTCATTGTTTTTTAAACTTAATTAGAAAATATATTTGTGCATTTTATATTCATAACTCATCCTTGTGAGTTCTAGTTAGAACACAAATGCATTAAAGTAAATGCCTTAGATTGTTCTTTAGGTGTTGCATCTTTTTTTTTTTGGGCAAAATTTAGGTATTGCATTTGATACTCACAAGTTTTAGAGGATTATCTGTGAGTTTAAGAGTTCTAGAACACCTTTTATTCTGTGATGCTCAAACACACAAGTTTCAAATTGAAAATCACATGAGTTTTAGAGCTCCAAAGAAGATGTTGTTTCCACCTTGCTCAAACACACGAGTTTAAGAGGTTAAGCACGTGAGTTTTGGAGTGTTAGAGAGGAGCTTGGTTCTGATTGAGACATGTGAGTTTTAGTGTGACAATGTTAATCAAGGTTACGGACTTCTCATCCTCATAATAAGTTCCCATCCTCACAAGTATTAGGTCACTTGTTTCACTTGAGTCCCAAAGCTTATCCATCCTCATGAGTTCCAGTGTGACACACTACAGTTCAAGTCTTAAATTTAAGTTTGCTTAAGTTTGAGCCTTGAACACTTGAGCCAATCCATTTTCATTTGAAATGTTTAAAACTTGTCTAACCCATGCTCACGAGTTTTGGATGTCACCCACGCATTTTTCAGAGTGTTCAAGAAGTCATTCACTTTTTACATCTATTCCTTAGGTGATCCCAATAACCTCCTTGTGTGTTTCAATCTTCTAGAAAAGCTTGTATTTCTGCCATCTATCATTGAGTCTCCACGTGTGCATTATACTAAGCTTTTTCAAAGCTATCTTGCCTTACTCATGCATCCACGCAAGGATGAACTTAAAACACACGAGTTTTAGTGTTCTGGCAAACATTAAATGAGTTTCATTTATAAAGTGTTTTTTGCACAATTTATACTTCTATACATGCAATGCAATAGCTTTAAATGGCTAGTTGAGATCTCTAATGGCTATAATCATTCTCACACTATATATAAAGCGTAACTTTATTTAAGTGAGTGAGTAATGAATTAAACTTACATTCATTGTTTTTATCTACTAAATTAAAAGCTCTTTGTTTGACAATTTATAAGCTTTCATTGTATTCTTATCTACTTTTTGGAGAGTTTTGAGCTTTGAATGTTTACTCTACTTTTTGAAATCTTAGTGAAGAGTTTTTCCTTGTGTGTTTATTACATACAAAGGTTGGTAAGGGAATTTTGAGTGAGTTTAAGATTTGTAAGTTTTGGTGGTACCCATTTAACATTGTGATTTTAGTTGAAACTCACAAGTGTGTTTTGAAAATTGGACATAGGCTAAGTGATTAAGTTGAACTAGTATGAATTTCTGTGTCAAGCTTTCTCTTCTCTAAACTTCAATTGATTTAAAATCTCATCATTTGACTTTAGTTTGATAAAAACAATGTTTCTGTTTTATTGGAGAAAAGCTTTTGAAAAATTTGAGGATATTCAATTCATCTCCTCTTAAGTGCCAGTCTACATAATGCTTGTTTGGTTTCATAACTTTTGACATTGAGAATGTGCTTTTTCACTTTTTGAAAGTAGGATGTTGTTTGGGAACCAATTAGTGTTTAAATTGACTTTTGCAAAAACACATTCAAATGAGCTGAAAGTGGATCTGAAGCTTTTGGAATTGAAAGTTGAATGTTATATATTTATATGACCAAATTACCCTTGTTTTCTTGCGTCTTTCTTATCTCTTTTTCATGTTCTCTATTATTTGCTGCTTTTGCCCATACTTTACCATACTTGACGTTGAAATATTATTCAAAGGTGAGTTCAAATTTTTGACCAATAGGGATAAATGCTTTTGAACCAAAAATAAAAAAGAAAAAAAGAAAAGGGATGGATGGTAGGAAAAAAATTAAGAAAATTGAAATATATGTGAATTCTATACATACATACATACATACATACATATATATATATATATATATATATTAAATTATACATTATAAATTGAACAATTAATCTTGTTAATTTTTAATATTAATCTATATTGAACTATTTATATAATTTTTAATATTAATGTATTTTAAAAATTTCTAATATATTATATTTGTATAATAAAAATTATAAATAATCATAAATCAATATTCTTTTTAATCACTGTATATTCAAAAGTATATTTAAAAAATACAAATTATCATTAATCTAAATAATTTTTAGTTTACCAAATTAACTTTTAAAATAATGTATTTAAGTACAAATTTTATTATAACAACTGACTTTTATCAAATAAATATTTTATAAACTGACTTTTGCCCAATAAAATTGAAAACCAAACACACCCTTAGCAGTTATTATTATTTAAGTAGTAGCATTTTCTTTGCAAAACACTGCCTCTTGCTAATTTTCAAAATTATAAATAAAAATATATTTCACTTACTATTGGAAACGCTACCTATTATTGATTTCCTTGGTAATTACTATCAGATGTGCTGCAAGAACTTAATATCAACTCTAGTAATATAATGGTGTTGCTACCTACAGCCAGTAATTTGAGCTAAGCTTAATAGCATAAATAAGTTTGAGAAATCTTAGGTCTAAATTTGAAAGATTGGAAAAATTTTCTTTACTTCAAACTTATTCAAGTCACTTGCATAAGCTCAGAAAATTTGAGTCAAGGCCAAACTTGGATGGGCTCAACCAAAAAACCTGAATTCTTTTGTTATTATTAACAAAAAGGAAATTAAATTTCACTTTGCACTCACAATTTACATTCCTTACTCTTAATCCATGCACTTCACACTTAGTTGTGCGATATAACTATTTAAAAAATAATAATTTAAAAAATAATATAATAATTTTTAAAAAATAATTACATTAGGCAAAACATATAAAAACATAAATAAAATTATGCATATTTTTATTTTAAAAAAATATACTAAGTATTTGTTTGGGTAAAAATGTGTTGGGAATATTGATATATAGTGTAGTTTCAAAAAGAAAAAAAATATTACCCAAAAGGACAATTTAATTTGTTGTGCTTGGATTTTACTATAAAATAAACAACTCTTAGATCCATTTTTTTTAATATGTCTAATAGGTATAAATTTTTGTTGTTTAAATTTATGGAATTTGAGTCAAAATATCATTTATTTAAAAAGTTTTTGAACTCAAATATTTTTTTATTGAGTTTAGAAGGTTCAAAATTCTAAAACTAGAGGTGCAAGATCGTAATTTTTACATACCATTTATATAATTTTCTCCATGTGAGGAGTGTATTTCCCCCCACACATATGCGTAACTCCACCATTGTTCACACTCTTAAATAAAGTTTTACTATTTCAGTAATTGTTTGACATCATTCCATATACTTTTATTTTTACTTTTTTAATGCTTGTTTTCTCATTAATAAAGGTAGAAAAAAGGTGTATTGTAATGTTATGATGCTTGCAAAAAAATCTTAATCTTTTAAGATAAAAATTGAAATTGACTCAGAAAAAGAGAAAAATAAAATAAAATATAAAACTCTAAAAATTTGGGTAATAATTTCGAATCACCCAACCTTTTGTAGGTGGCATTTTGTCTTGATTACTTTTCTGAGTTTGGGTTCCCTCAAGGTAAAATATAAATGGTCTAGTTTAATCCCTTTTCTATGTGAGTTACAAAACCATATCATGACTTTACATTATTTTTTTCGTACATATATGTTCATTGAACTATTTGCAAAACCAGTGTAGATATCATATATTTTTTTAAATTTTTTTAATATAATTTAGTTTATCTACACCAGTTTTGAAATTGATGTAAATTGTCCAATAACTAAACCAGTTAAATAATTGGTGTAGATAACTTTATCACATCTACACTGGTGTAGATAAGCTATTTTAACTTGTGTAGATTTTCCTGTTTATACTAGTGATATACATGCATCTCATATTTTTTAAGGTATGGAACTTCTTCTAGTTTTTTCGGTAAGTCATTAGTCTCGCTTTTATTCATGAATACATATACATGAACCACTTTGAGTGATGGCTGAACCAAGAAACGTGTTCAACTTTTATTTTATTTTCTTTTTTTGGTAACATGTATTCACCTTTTAATTAAAGCCATTAATACAAGAACATGAACCGCTTCCAAACCTTCATTAGATGCATTCACATATCAAGGCCAGTAAATACAATTTAATTGGGTGTCATTGACTTTCCATTCTTCACATTTTCCAACCCGTATGGTAACAATAAAATTAAAGAATATAATTTACTATGCGACAAGAAATCAATTGTTTCATTGAGACCATTATAAATAGAGGGAGCTCACAACAAGAAAGACCCACCACTACCCTCAAGTAACTCTTCTAAAAAGTGGTTCTCTCTTCAACCCTTAGGCTAGCCATGGAAGTGGGTGGTTCTTTGTTGGCTGTTATACCAATCTTTTGTGGACTTATGGTGTTGAGATGGCTTCTCAGAAATGTGAATTGGTGGCTCTATGAGCGTCCTTTAGGTGAGAAGCAGTACTCTCTACCTTTAGGAGACTTGGGATTGCCCTTCATTGGAAATATGTGGTCTTTTCTCTTTGCCTTCAAGTCTGGTCATCCTGAATCCTTCTTGGCCTCCATTGTCTCCAAGTTAGTATATATAAACTCATTCTCTCTTTACCGAAGATTTCACTCCTCATTAACTGAATATTTTGATAATGCAGATACGGAAACAATGGAATATACAAGGCGTTGATGTTTGGGAAGCCAAGTGTGATTGTGACAACGCCAGAAGCGAGCAAGAGGGTTTTAATGGATGATGACAAATTTGAGCCTGGTTGGCCAGCTTCCACAGTGGAGCTCATGGGAAAGAAATCATTCATTTCAATTCCTTATGAAGAACACAAGCGTCTAAGGCGCCTGACTTCTGCTTCCATCAATGGCATGGATGCCTTGTCCTTTTACTTGACCAAAATTGAAGACATTGCCATATCTTCATTGGACAAATGGAGCAAGATGGGAGAGATTGAGTTTCTCACCGAGCTGCGAAGATTCACCTTTCGTATCATCATGCATATTTTCTTAGGCTCTGAGGGAGACGCTGTTATGCATAATCTGGAAAATGAGTACACAGCCCTAAATCTTGGTGTTAGAGCTATGAAAATCAATCTTCCTGGATTTGCATATCACAAGGCCCTTAAGGTGCGTAAGCACATTTCTACTCTGTAATTAAATTGCTCTTCATAGTATTTGCTTCAAGTTAGGTATGATTTTTTTTTCTATTTTTCAGGCTAGGAAAACTCTAGTGGATGTATTTCAAAGCGTTGTGGATCAAAGAAGAAAAGAAAGGAATGAAAATGTTCATTATAGAAAATCTAGAGACATGATCGATGGTCTAATGGATGCAACAGATGAAAATGGAAAGAAATTGGACGATGAACAAATTATTGACATCATGTTAATGTATTTGAATGCTGGTCATGAATCTTCAGGTCACACTACAATGTGGGCCACAGTTTACTTGCAACAACACCCAGAAATTTTCCAGAAGGCTAAGGTACCATGAATTTGCCATAGTTTAAAAACTGACTCATAATTTGTTCTGCATTTTTTGTTGTGCTACTATATATAGTTGATTATTTGAGCAGGCTGAACAGGAAGAAATCATCAAAAGAAGACCTCCAACACAGACTACCTTGACACTCAAGGAAATTCGACAAATGGAATATCTTTCTAAGGTACTCCTTTAATCCTATTTATAAGTCACTTTCAATATGTTTCATTAGCACTAAGGAAAACCTTAAAACTCATCAATTCTGTCTTAAAATTTAATAAGTTTTTAACTTTGCCCCTATTAAATATACATACTTCAATAACATATTTTCTCTCTCAAATGTTCAATGGAGGGTAAAAGAGAAAATTTATGATCAAAATTTAATGATGTGATTTATAAATAGGATGAATTTTTTTTTCTCTGCTTTATAAATAAGATCAGAGGGAGTATCTATCAATCACACAACTATAACATCACACATGCATAAACCTTTAATTCACATAATCATTTTCTATATTATCTTCTAATATATTGCCATTCCTCTTCCTTACACTGCATATATAGGTGATTGATGAAACTATGCGTTTGGTTACATTTTCGTCGATGGTGTTTCGGGTAGCAAAATCTGATGTGAATATTAATGGTTAGTGATTCCGATCCTCACAACCTCTAGACTTTGTCTAAAACAAGAAATGAACTTTGTGCTTTATATGGCACTTAATTCATTATTATTTTTGAATTGTACAGGCTACCTTGTTCCCAAAGGATGGAAAGCTATTGTTTGGTTCAGGGCAATTCATTTTGATCACAAGATATATCCAAATCCTTTGGAATTTAATCCTTCCAGATGGGATGTGAGTTGCATATACACATACACAACATGCCTAATTGTTAACATTAATATATATTTCCTTTAACTTTCTGTCAAAACAATATCTTTCTAGGACTCATGCATAGAATTATTATCTTCACCATATATTTTATGCTTATGTATGTACAGAATTTTATACCAAAAGCTACAGAGTTTATGCCATTTGGAGCTGGAAGTAGACTTTGTCCAGGAAATGAGCTTGCAAAGCTGGAAATCATAGTTTTCCTTCATCACTTTCTTCTCAATTATCAGTACGATCCCAATCCTAAACTTGTCAATTCTATGTTAAATGTGAAGAGTATAATTAATTGTGGAAGCAATTAACTGTATAAGTAATTAATTAATGTTTTGGCTGGTATGATGACAGGCTTGAACGTCTCAATCCTAAGAGTCCTGTTATGTACCTTCCACATACAAGGCCTGTTGATAACTGTGTGGCTAGGATTCATAAGATATCCAAAGCGTGATTAGCCTTGGAGGGATACTAAATGAACACAACATCCGCAGTTTTTATTTGGTCTTTTTTTTTTAATTAGTAATTTCTCCATATATGTAAGTTCCATGGAGAATTCCTTGTTTGGACATCTTATATATGTGTCATTGATGCTGCTAATCATAATATGTAATAATATTCCGGATGCTATGTTCTTGATGATAACAATTTATATGATATTCAGTATCTTTTTTCTCATAATTCTTTATATGTTCGTTATATATATATATATATATTATGTGAGCTCTGATATTTCAAAGTCTTTAACTCAAACTTATAATTCGATCAATAGTTTGGGGGCACCTCTTTAAGCAAAAAGCAGGTCGAAGGGAAAATGTTAGAATGTCCCTATAAAGATCATTAAAGTCTTGAAAAATGACATACAAGTCTCAAATAGATCCTTAACTGTCAAAGCAACCAAAAAAAAAAAAAAGCAAAAGAAAGGGAAAGAAATAAAATCCTAATGGATATAAAATGCTCTTTTTTGATAAGTATTTACAACTCATTTTCAAAACTATACAACTCATTGTTTCATATTTAAATTTATCTCTTTTACAATTTATAGTTGTACTGTGTTGTCAATTAACCTAATTTTATCCATGATTGTTTTAGTATTGATAGTTATGAAATTTGAGATTTGCACATCGTTTTGCAAATTTGGGGGAGCATATATGTCATTATATTCTTTATATATATATATATATATATAGGAGACTTATCCATCATTTTCTCCAGGAAGAAAGTGGAAAACAAAGAGGCGTAGGAGGATACAAGTAACGCGAGAGGTAAATTAGAGGGGTAGAACTAGGGGAAAATAACATTGGAGAATCTTGCAAGACTTTTAATTTCATGTAACGACAGAAAATTCTAGAAATTTCATATAAATTAATTTTTTTCTTTGATTTTTCAGTATTTAACTTTGATATTCTCAATACTTGTCTTTTCAATTTTCTCAATATTTATCATTTTTTAATATCATTCGCTTAATGAAGTTCTTGAATGAAATTTTTTTGTTAACAATATACTGAAAGGTTTGGTTATTGATATAATGCAATAATGTCATGTAATCTATGTAATCATCTTCACTTAGGGGAACAAGGCTTTGAAGTTTTTGAATCCTGCAAGTTTTGTTTTAGTGCTTATATTTTCCAGGATTCAATTTGAAAAATAAAGATAACTTAGTATGGCTTATTGTTCTGGGATTCCCATATGGTAATTAATCGGCACTTCTCCAAGGATAAAGGAACATTTATGAGAAATCCCACAACGTGAAGACAATTAAGCTATCAGATCTCTGCAATACTTGGTTACCACTAGACCAGGCATTGTTTTTGTGGTGAATAAACTAAGTCAGTTTCTTGGCTCACCCACAGACGCATATATTGGCAAGCTTCAAAACAGGTTTTTCATTATCTCAAGGGAACGATGGATCTAGCTTTACACATAAAAGCAAGCAATCACCTTACGTATGGATTGAGCCAAGGCTATTGTGTTTTCTTAGCCAAATCTCTCGTCTCTTGGTCAACAAGGAAGCAGAAGGTGGTTGCTCGATCTAGTGCCGAGTTAGAATATGGTGCTGTGTCTGATCTTTCGTCCAAACTCCAAGCTCGTATGGATTGATTCTTCTTCACTGGAGACATCGGACTTCACTACTTGAGACAACCCTCGATAGCCTGATGTGACAATTTGAGTCAAACAACTCTTGCTTTGGTTTGAATCCCATCTTCCATACTTGTTCAAAACAGATAGATCTCGACGTCCATTACTATGTTCGTGACCATGTACTTGCTCGGAGATTGTTAGTACGATATGTCCCCCTTGTCTGATCAAATTGCATATATATATATATATATATATATGTATGCAGTAATTCAATTTAAGCCCAATGAGCTAACCCGAATAAGCCTGAAAAATTTTAGGATCAGGTTTGAGAGTTTAAAATATTTTTATTACTTTAAGCTTATTCGGGCCACTTACTTTAATGAACTCTAAGAAATTCAAGCCAAACTCAAAATCAAATAAGCTTAGCCCGAATACTTGAATTCCTTTTTATTATTAATAAATATTATTAAAATAAGATAAAAATTGAAAGTATTATTTAATAAAAATAAAAATTGGAATTATATAAAAAATAAAAGAATAAAATAAAATAATATTTAATAATTTGGGCATTTGGGTCATCCTGAATAAAATTTGAGAGGTTAGGATTACGCTTAACTATATAGACTTTTCTACATGTACATGTATTTTAAACCAAATTCGAATAAACCCAGCCCACCTAAATTATCAACCCAACATGTATATATATTATTTTTCATAGGTATCCTTTGATTGGAGGTAATTTTATTGAAGGCACAGTCAAGTATTAAATGTAAGTACATTTCTCGGCTGAAAATTGAACTTTAGTTTATCATGTTGTGAAAAAATAACCCCTTCTACTAGATCCTGAATGCTACTTGCATATTTGTTGTGTTGTGCGTGTGAGATTGAGAGTGCCGATTCGAACTCGTGGCTTGACTTGTGATAGCAAAACACTTTCGCCACCAAGCCACGGGCTTCAATGGCTGCTTGCATATTTGTTTACCAGGTTTTGACTCACTCCAAGTATTGGGCCTCTAGATACAAACTCGGTTTGGTTAAGCCACTACAATCTCGTTTGCGTGGGACTTTTAAAGCCCAATAGGAAGACCAAGTCTGGAAATAAAGATAAAGGGCCCAAACATGTCAGATTAACTTTATTCATTTGCCTCCTGTAATAAATTTGTCTTTAACCAATTTTTTATACGCGACTTGTCTACATATATTCTAGGATTGTGTGCCATTTATTTCTATATAAGGCACTGTAAATGTTTGGCACGATGCACCTCCAGATAATATATCTAATATATTTTACAACTCCTTTTGAAGTTTTAGTATATAAGTATTTTCCTTTTACCCTTAAGCTATTCTCTTAATTGTCAAGGATATACGATTAACGTATTAAGTATTTAAGCTTTTTCACCCAGTTTTTAGTGATGGTCTTACAAAAAGGTCCAGAGACAATTGAAATTTGGAAATATATATCTTGCAGGCGAATCCCTACAATGATAAAACGACCGAACTCAACTTTTTTGTTTGTCTTTTTAGTTGAGCATGTGCTTGGGTCTTTGAGAAGGTTTTACCAACATTTGAAGTATCATGAAGGTGTTTGGGGTTGGTTTCCAATTATTTTCTTCGAAATTCTCGAGGTATCTTCTTTCATCGTCGTCTTCTTCTTTATGAGTTGTATGTTGAAATTTTGGTTTGTCCTATGAACCCTAAGGGGGCTAAGACAGAGGTACATGAAAGAAGGTTTGAGCTGTTGATATACATATTCCATCGGTTCAAAAATATAATATATTTTTAATTAAATCTCATCTCTTCAATAAATTAATTAATTGTCTTTAAATTATCACAATCTTTTTTATATTCACCTTTATTTAATAGGACGTTTCACTCATAAATAAATATAAAAAATTTATTTATTAAGAGAATTTTTGAAAAAATAATTATATCATGACATATTAAAAATATCTTATATTTTTTAACATACAATAATTTCTGAAAAATGCTGTATACTTTTTCGAGAAGTATTAGCTAGCCCTCAACTAAACTATGATTTGACTAGTGGCGGAGCCACATGTAATTGAGGGGGGGCATATGCCCCCTTCACTTGAGAAAAATGACATGTTTGGGAATATAGGGTTTTATATTTTACAATTTGCACCTTTTACTTATTATACTTTGCATCCCTTTATTTTTATTTTTTAAACTTTAAACTCATTTCAATTTTACTTTTTTATCCTATATCTATTTAAATTTTAACTTAGTCTCATGAATTACCCACAATTTCACTATATCTAAATATCAATATTATTTATTAATTGTTTAAAAAATAGAAAAAATCTAATATGATTAAATAGACTCGCTCCTCACTTTGAATACTACTCAGGACTAGTTAGAAAAAAAAAAGACAATGATAAATAATAAAGATTCAAAACCAAGAGTAAATTGGGTGAATATTTTAGCTAAATCGCTGCACCTATGAATCTATAATTAAAAGCTCGACAAGGAACAAAGAAAAAGAAAAAAAGAAAAGACAAATAGTTGATTTGGAAGAGACAAAAATGTCTTCCTTTCACTGAGGATCCTGATTTCGTCATTACCCCTCTGACCCAGGATCCTAGCTTTGCCATTGACTTTAACTCTTTGAGTTGAATGAGAATTGTTTTGGTGTATATATCGGTAGGTGTCAACTTTCAAGGTGGGTGCGTGTGTGTATTAGTATGTATATTGATTGATACACACAGTACTGATATGTGAGAGTGTGAGCTATGCAATTTTTTCACTCATCTTAACTGAGTATAGGAAAAATGTTAGTTAAATCTCAAAATGTTGAATTAATGACACTTAGGTCTTTAATAAAATTTTCTTAAAAAATAAGTTATAAATATTAAATCAAACAATTACAAACAATTAGATTTTCAACTTATTATAAAAAAATAATTGAAAACTTAATTATCATTAATTTAATATTCAGGGAATTAATTGTCAGTCTTTATTAAATATATGAGTGGGATTTCTTTTTTGTGCAAGAGCCCAAAAGGGGATCAGACAATTAATAGATAGTCACTCAATTCATTCTTTGGTCTTCCATTCATTTATTTTTTTATTTTATTTTCTTTTTTCTTTTTAAACATGCTAAGCCTAAGCCTCGTCAGTTGATTCTTAATAGAGCCCTCATCCCAAGCCTCCCTCAACTGTGATACAACCATCGTCGAGTTCCTTTTAATTAAAGCTTGCAATTCTAAACAGCCGGACTTATTTTGAACTTAATCAAACATATAAAAAAAACTTATAAGGTTAAGCCTGATCCTACCACCTTAACTTTTGGGCTTATTGGAGTTTTGTTCAAATACCTGAATTGTAAATATTATTTTATTTTTTTAGCTAATTTCAATTTTTATCTTAAAATTAAAATTTTCAATTTTTATTTATTTTAATTTTATTTATTAATAATTTAAAAAGATTTTCAATTTTATTTTGGCCTAAATTAACCCGCGCTAATATTTTAAATTTATTCAGGCTAGCCGTTAGATTTGATAGGAATTACTGGCTTTGCTTTTAATAATCACCAACTTTGAAACTATCATCCATTTCCTTAGCCAACCTGATCCCCCACAACGCCACCCTAACTTAGATATCACATAGCAGAGCAAGTTCCCCATAAAATCCCTCAGTAACCGAAGGGAACCTAACTATTCAATCATTTATACTTTCATTGATTTTGCCTATTAATGATATGTTCTTCTTTATAGTCATAAACGATAGAATGGAAGCAATGCATATGACTACTATGTGATAAAGACACGTGCTCAATGTCATCACTTATCACCTCAAGCATTCCTGAGCGCACATAAGCACAGAATCACTATGTGTGATAAATTACCTTTTTTCAACCTCTAACATATAGTGTGAAGGAGGTAGATGATGAAACTGCTAGACTTGCTTAGCTTGCAATCTTGTTTTGTAACGTTCAGTATTTTCATAAAAAAAAAGGGGTATGTCTGTTTTTGACAAATTGGTTTTGATCTATTCCTTAATGTAATAAGTTATTTTTTCGTTCTTAAACACGTGAGTTTGATTTGTTTAGCTTCTTGTAATTGTTGATTGTAATTGCGTAGATTGTGACAATCATATTCTAATGTAATTTGTAACTATTGTACATTGCATATAGTTGGATTTGCGACATTGTTTGTAGCGTAAAATTGGTGCGATTGATGTGACAATTAATTAGTTTTTGGGAATTTTGTAGTTTGATTGTGTCAATTATTTGTTAGCTGATTGGTCTGTTATTGGCTGGCTGATTTTGGTTATTGTACATTAGTTGCTTTCTAAACAAGGAAAGTGGAAGCAAAGAGTAAATAGATATGTCAAAAAATATACACTTATTAACCCGGTTATAGAAACAACTATTGTAGAACGTGTGATAAGGTTTTTTCCCCCTTTATGAACTTTCTACACCAAATATACAAATGGTAAGGTGTTTTGTTTTTTACAACGATTGTTTAATTAGTCTACATCGGTTTTAACCAATTTTAGCCAGTGTCAATTCTTTCATATATCAATTTGGCATGATGTCAAAACTTCTCCTACTCTATTTTCACCAAATTTTCTTCTTATTTTTAAACGGAAAATATAATTATAAGTACTATTGGTTGTTGCTTCCTATTTGCTTTTTCCTCCTACCCTAATTTTTCTTAATTTTTACTGGTTTTTTTTCCAGTTTTTACTGGTTTTTTTTCCAGTTATCTCTTATTTTAGTTATTCTCTTTTGAATTAGACTAAGAATCGGCTTACCAGTTTTCCAATCGAACCATTATTTGGTCTAATTTGGATTTCATGTTCTTGAAAATAATTGTAAATGGATTACCATTTGTTCTTGTAAACAAGGAGTAGTCATAATTATTTTATTTGAAACTCAAATGACCGATAATGTTACTCAAATTGAACTATGTTTCATTGAGTTTATAATTTCATTATCGAGATGCATGGTTTAAGATCATATAATGATTTGTGCAATTTGCATACATTCTCCCCTTTACTACCAAAATTTTGACACCTATATAAGTCAAAAATAGTTTTTTAAAGTAATGAAAAGATTAAAAAAGCGCTATGAAAAAATAGTTAAAAGACATCAGATATAGTACTTATTTTAAGAAGTGCTAATAAAAATATACCACAAGAAGTGCCACTGTATGTCTTAATTTGACGTATTATTGCCTTCTAAAAAAAGCATTACTATAAGATAAATTTCTGTGCAAAAAAAAAAAAAAGAACTTTTAACAGCACTTCTTAGAAGAAGCACCCTCTTCAATTAATAATTTTTATTGTTCTCATTTGCATAACCCCAATTATCATATCATCACTTTAGAATAGAAAATAATTTAAATCACATACTGTACCTCTCTGTCTCTCTCTCTCACAATAAGTTTAAGAATTGTAGGTAAAAATATAGCATAAGAATTTTAAAAAGGATTTTTATAATTTATTCAAACATGTTATTGAGTAGAAAAATTGTAGGGGGATAAAATTAAGAGTATGAGTATATCTTTGTTCAAGAATATATTTAAGACGTTAAAATATTGATGAGGATGAGTAAAATTTTTTAAAGCAAATTTAAAATATTGTTAAAATATATTTTATGCATACTTATGTTTATAAAATAGCATTAATATCATATGACTTTTTTCTGGGTAAATAGTAGACTTCCTCCACCCATTTTATATGATTTCTTTTTTTTTTGGAGTGATTTAATATTGCAAAATATAAGTGTTTTTTTAAAAAAATTAAAATTACCTCTCGTTATTTTACTCTTTAAGTTTCTCCACCTCCTAGAGCCAGTAATATGGTTGAATTCATTAAATGAATGATAGAAGTTTATAATTCCTTTTTAAAGAAATTAAGGTTTTAAATTGCATTGAATTCATTTTATTGATATTTGCAACTTTACCAAACAAAAATATCTTATAGTAAAAATGAGATGGAAGCACTACTAGACTACTAGTCACGCCTAGGTGAGAAAAATGATATCTCTAATAAATTAATTAATTGTCTTAAAGTTACATTTCCTTTCAATATTTATTATCATTTAATAGGGGGTATAAAAAGCCTTGTTAATAATTACATCCAAATTAAGGGTATTTTTTTTAAAAATCATTAATTGTACATTAAAAAACTCAAAATATCTTATATTTTTCAACATATTAACATAAAAAGTCTTATATTTTTTTTAATGGAGGGAGTTACATATATCTATTGCCAACACAAAATTGTACATTTAAAGCACAGTCTGATTGGCAAGGGGGGAAAAAGGGCTCAGCCTCATTTATTATTATTATATATCATATCCGCAACTATCTCAATTTTTTTTGGTTAGAGAGACTTTTTTTTATAAATAAAATCACATATTTTAATAAACATTTATTATAAGTTTTCTAAATTAGACTTCATAATTTATATTAATAAAAAATAATTAATACATGCTTATATTGATCAATATATAATAATATTTTAATCTATTTTTTTTATTTTTAGACATGATTATTATTGTTAACTAATTTTATTCAATTATGCAATACATTTTTTTTATATATAAAAATGGAGGGGGTACTGGCTAGTTACTGCTATGATAAATTGATGCTCCTAC